GACGTAAGTGGCACGCTGTATTGTCAGACCAGAAATTGAAAGTTGAACATTCAGTCCAAAACGGCGATTTTTTTTCCAAAGATGTGAAAATATCAGACATTTTGTTCTTCTAAGGTAGAGGCCTATGGAATGGAAATTAGATATCTACATTTGCCTTTGTATATACCTTTTTTCTTCCAGTTGTTGACGCATAATATTGTCGAATAACTGATTGGGTACACAAGTAAGTATGGACAAAATATATAATTTTGCATGTAGAAAATGTTTTTTGGTGTAATATAAATTTTGCATTAAACATTGGCTGTCTTCTTCACAGACATTGTTTAATCTTCTGATTAGGTCTAACCGAAATGTACGGGAAACAGTAGCGTTCATTCATACGTTTTATTTCAAAAAGAATGGAATCATACATAATTTTCTGCAATGAAAGTGAGTTTTAAGGCCAAGCACGTGTGAAAACATGACTGGTTTTCGTTTTTTTTCAAATCACGCTTTAGGTTAAACTTAAGATTCAAAGAGAAAAGAACACACCATTTGGAAGGCACATCTGACGATCACTTGGACTTTCATTGGTTCACAATTCATTGCGAATAACATATCATTCACTAAAGGTGTCCTCCCGAATCCTTTTAATTTGAAAAATGCTTGTAAGTTCCTTGGAGATAGCAGCTCTGCCTTTTCTCAAACTCCATGAGGCCAGCAGGACTGATGCTGTTTGGGGAGATCTGTGATGTATCAGTTAAGCCTAAGTCAATGACACGTTGCTTGCTCATTTAAATGTACTTTACCCTGCGCCGTAACTCTGTCAGTGGTTCACGAAACTGGCCAAAAGGTTGACTTTTCTGAAAAAGTTCGCAGTGTTTGTTACGGATAGAATCTGACCCCTTCTGAGTGAGTAGAATGCATTCAGAATGAAAACAACAAGCACGTGTACATAGTAATGATTAGAGTTATTAAAAATTAAAGAAAGATTTTATTACAAATTTATTGTCAATAAATATATTTTCAATAATTTTTCCCGATTTACTCTAAATTTTCCTGAAGAACTATTTGGAAGAAGTTGCAAAAAGTGTGAACATTCATACTAACACTGGACACAGGCCATTTCATGCCCCTTCTTTTTTTAGGGCTGATTGTTCAAATATGCATGTAGTTCGACCAAAGACGACCTTGATGAATCCAACTTGTTCTGAACTCCGACGTCATTCAAGCCTGATTGGCAGATACGGTTAGTGTTTTCCCCTTCCTGTAACGACAAAATAAACGGAAGTCAGAAGCAGATACGAAGTGTCAAAGTCTTGCTGTATCCAGTTCATTGACCGTGGATGAGGCGGGCCATGACTGGATTGGGGTCCTAACAAAGCCTGTCATTTGTCCGCAGATAATGCTTAGGATTTTCGGATTATTGTTTTGACGATGACCATGCTCCGTCGGCTGTGCACTTTCCCCGTTACACCTCATAATTAAATTAAACTATCAAGCCGAACCTTAGTCAGCACAGTGCAAAACGTCCACAGTGGATTACGTTGATATATATGTACTGTTGCCAGAAATCGTTTTGACTACGTAATTTGCACTTCACGGCACATTAGTTGAGGTCACACTTATACGCGGGGACCAGCGTTATCATTATTATAAAGATTTTGGCACGCTAGGCTAATAGCGTTTTCAATCATAAAAAGTGTATCCCAATCTCTGTATAACGACTTACTTTAAAATCCTGCAAAATTTTCATTACATTGTACGTCCTTTTCGGTGATCCGTTGTAAACCTTCATCATTCTACGTCCTGTTTAATGAAATGATGCATGTTTATATGGCCTAGTCAGTCTATAAATACGTACCAATACTATCTGCTCTTATTTGACTTTTTTCAAATTTATGTAACATGTAATTTATAATATATTTTATGCAGAAATCCAGTAAAAATCACTGCACGTGATGTTAGATCTGCCAATTCATTTTGTATTTATAGGGGCCTATGTTCGCAATCTTCGAATCCCTTGTATTAGTATCCATGGAGTCAACTGGGCACTGTAGTTGGTTTCGACATTGTATCGTAGTCCTTCCTTATTGACCTGAGGCTGTATAGACCAAAATTATATTCTGGTCTGTTTCACCCCAAATCAACTGTTTAAACAAGGGTCGATTAGTTTCTGTGGCAATCAGTTGGTGTCACCGGGGGCCAGGGACTGGGTATGGGAGATTGACGGACGGTGGAAATTCAGACACATCATGGACAAGTTTGCAGGATGGTCAGAGCCTGGTTCCCATTGTTAACGGGGATTGTCCAGAAGAAGTAGGGCCACGTCGTCAATATAATGTCACCAGTAAGAAAGAAAATACTTTTACAGGCAGTCCTTTTTTGACTCAAAATTTGTCCGGAACCAGCACTGTTCTACGTGCCACTCGATTTCTTCTTCCACAGTGCCATCAAGCTATATAGGCGACTCGAGATAAGTCTGGGTATTCGTTTTGATTTGGGGGGATTTGTGTAATACCACGGAGCTATCCTTTTTTATAGCTCCATGGCATTACAGAGTATAGCGATATATCTATTTCGTATTTGTTAAGTACACTTGGTTCGCCATTGCCTAGTATGATGATGCAAGTTTCCGCCACGAAGGCTAGTTTGGAAGATCGCACCAGTGTAACCTTTCTGTTGTTGGCCATTCATAATGCGGGGATGTGTCGACCAGTGAACTACGCATTTGTATAATTCGGTACAATCATGGTACAGTGGACCACGGAAGTAGTAAACGAGGCGGGCAAAGTAGAAGATACAGAAACAATCCATGTGCATTTGGGCTAAGTCTGTGTAATTTATCATGACTACCGTATAGAGCTCGCATAAGCGAGTTAGAGCGTGGTTAAAAGAGCCTTTCATTCCAAGGTCAACCAACCCCCCCCCTTCACTAAATTACCATGGCACTACATGGAAACAAAATAACTTTCCAATTGTCACCAGATAAGAGAATCATGCAGTTTGGACCTAATTAGTTGCAATCCCATAACTCCTTGTCGATCAGAGATTCAAGGATTGGAATAGCTGGGAAGCACTCACCCGGTCTGTAATGCGGGCTAATTTCTGGGCCGGACGCTCCCCCCGGTTTGCCTGCGGTGTACGGTTTCGTCCCCCGGTGTTGCAGCATATTTGCTGCTTGTCGAATATTTGTTTCGACCCCGGGCACTTGGCTAATCATTCCAAATGTTTGGCTTACTGAAAAGACAGTTTGATATGGCCCGACTTCTCCTGGGGTCTAAGGCTTTTCCCACTGCAAATATTCATGTTTTTGCGCTGGAGCTCAACAAGGGTTTTCAAAGGATGACAATTTTTAAATTTTGGAACCAAAATTATGAGATTTGGGGGCTTAACAATAACAGTTAATCGCAGAATAATGAGTGGGGTATGGGAAGTGACGTTTTATGACCAAAAAGATCCACTCTTCTGATATTCCCTTGCCATGCTTCGCCATTACCACGAGGAAAATCACTTTGGAAGATATGAATGTGTTTCAAAATAAAATGGCGACTGAGGGGCGCGCCATATGAATCTATAACAGCTTATAAAATAGATTAATCCACTGATATTAATTTGACATCAATTGTATTATGGTAGAATTTGCTGCTTGCTTACTTTAAAAAGTCATAGGTTAAAAGTACACGTCTTTCACGCACAGTTAACCCCAAAAAACTATGAAAATAGAAACTTAAAAAGAAAACAAGAACACGGAATTAACTGTTTTAATATTGAATGGGGTACCCGACAGTTGGAAGAAATACCCGCTCGTGCGTGTTCTTCGTTTTCCGTCCAGCGTCATCAATGTAAATTTCTAAAAGTGACAATTAAGAATGCAACAAATACCATGAAGTCACCGTGTAATGCACGTCACAATAAAAACGAGCTGCGAGTGCATAATTCAAATTGGCAACAATATATTGCTTGTGACCTGGCTGATTTTATAAGTGTATAAAGATTTTGTTCATTCAGGGAACAAAGAAAGTAGAATATTCAGTTCCTCATATCATAACTAGAATTGAACAACATCAAAATGACCGAAGCGATGATGCCTCTGCCTAGTATAATTATCGTGCAGCCGACCACAGATCCCCAGTTGCCCACATTTTTGATTCGAGGTAACCTCACACCGACCTAATAAACAGCATAACAGTGCTAGCAATGTTGGTCTTCAGTTCGTGACCCGGCAGTCCACGTGCAGAGGGGTTCGGAGACGGGCATATAGGCGTTTCAGTCTACGGGTGACTTTCAGTTGCTTGAACCGGTCTTAAGCGAGGGAAAGTCGCCCTGCCGTCAGCATCCATTCTGACCGCACATCACAGGCTTGGCTGTATAGGCTGTAGATATAAAAGCCGTTGCGGGTGAAATATCAAGGTCAGTTTGTCTTCGGAGTCCTAGAGCGCCCAAACCTGCAAGTTACCGGGTTATTGATGCTATCTTCGCTTTACACTTAACTTACTGTGTGAGGTGTCTTGGCAAAAATTTTGTCCGTGATCATCGAACAACTTAACCACTTCATGACGATTAAGGACAGAAAAAAGGCCTAAAGTGTCGACTTCTCCAATTGTCAGTGAAAGCGGCGTACTATTTTGTACTTAAAAGTCATGGAAAACAAGGCGGAAACTATCTCAGTAACAAGCTCTTTTGATGTTTTTGTCTTTGTATTTGTAAAAGTCGACTATTTCAGACAACCAATCTTCCTCGAATAATCCGTTCTCATTAACCCTTACCCTTAAAAAAGACAGTGACAATGATTGAAGAATAACTCCTAGCAATACCAGGAGCCAAAAACAGCTTCAACACAAACGGACATTATTCAGGTGGAGCGTCAGCCACCAACTCGCCCTCTTCCCCAATACGGGCTGCCACGGCTGACTCCGCTCAAGGTTTACGTTTGGCACCGCTATCCATCACTGATACTCCAAGGACCGACCGCCTTTTGATTCCCAACTTTTAAACTTGTTTTGGATCTCCTAACCCTGATGATTCGTTTACAAGACCGATTCATCACAAAGCAGGAGACTTGCATTGATTTGAACAACAACAGCAAGGGCAACAGCAAAATGAAAGAAGAGGTCTTGCGCTTGAATACCCCTACGGACGTGGCAGGGATCGTGCTGCATAGCCCGGGAGCCAGCTGTAGCCGTACAACTCCGCAGCGAGGTAAATCTTGCAAACGACGTGGTGGCAGCGTAGGAGCGGGTGGAGGCTCATCTGGAAGGAGGGGCAGCGGCGCCCGGGCTCCCATCAAACCGATGCAACGACACGCTGCTAACGCCAGGGAGAGATCTCGCATGAGGGTGTTGAGTAAGGCATTCAGCAGGCTGAAAACAAGCTTGCCATGGGTTCCTCCAGACACAAAACTCTCCAAGCTGGACACACTGAGGCTAGCATCGAGCTATATATCGCACCTTAGAAAAATACTAGAGGATGATACCTTAGATAGTACGATGGTTCATCCATTAAATTTGGTAAGTTGGAAATAACTGCCGTTTTGCACTGCTTGTATGCATGCCATGTTACATTCATGACCCTTGTTTTCTACATTATTTTCTTGGCCATTCTTTTTTAGTTAATGCTTTCATGTTAGTGGTACTTGTCGTTTTATACACCCCTCATTGTCGGGATATTATACATCTCTCTCTCTCTCCAGTCCCTTTTTTATATCATTACCATGGTGATACAAATGTAAAAATAACAAAACAGTACTAGCAATAAAAAAAATCTGACCATTGAATTCACTCCAGCTAATTAATAGATAAATGATTCCAGTGTGTTCCTGTGCCCATTTGCGTAAGTTTGATTGTTGTCAAAATATTGCTCTTTCAGTTTCAGTTCACTGGTTAGTTTACAGCTGTGTACACGTGATCCACGCAGATTATATTTGTAATGGTTGGCCCTACATGTCCTTTGAGCGGCATTTTGTCTCTTTGCAGTCTGTGATTACACTGTGAATAGCTATGATAGTCAAAGTAAAAGCAATCAGTTATTATTTAAAGAGTGTAATCCATTTATATAAATGACCTACATGTTGATATTGTGTTGACGAAGAACTTCGATGAAGACCATGTCGATGATCACGGCATGCAGATGACGGAATCTCATCTGAATCAAACTTGTAGTAGGTACAAAAGAAGTGCAGTGACTCAGCAGTCCTGTCGTCATGTATCGTTGTATGTGTGTATCATTTTAGCACTATTTACATAATGATCGCACCCGGAGAATCAGTACATGTCAGATAGTACTGTTTATAACTTTAAGACCGCAGTAAAAACACTAACAACACGGGCATGACGGGTGTGGTGATATGGGCATGGTGGACACACGTGCAAAGCGAAGCATAGGCTTGAACTTGGTACTTGCCAAAGTGTTTACATTGCAAATAACAAAATCAACTACCCTACTCCTCCTTCCTTACTTTTTGTTTGTTTCATTTGTTTCCTTACCTGCTGTTTATTTGCTTCTTGTTTTCTGGAGGGGGGTGTGACAAGGAGATGCCGGACGATAACGTTTATCCGTCTAGATACCCGGAGATGCGCAGGTATCTGTGATATTACCCTATTATGCTATTACTGTGACATGCAGGTATTAAAACTTCGGAGATTTTTTTCAACATCTCCCATGAAGGTTCAAAATCATCCATTTCCCACCATTAAATGAAATATGCAATTTTGCATTCCAGACAATTGAATAAATTAATTTGTTATTCAGGTTTTTGTACATTCCAGAAATCAATTTGTTACTTGCCACTTCCCACTTGTCATATTATACGACGCTGAATTTCAGCAAACGGTTTTACATTACACTAAGGACATTATGTGGCTTTGTGCAAAATACACCATTGTACATCTACATGTAAGTTGTTCACATAGTGCCCAGCTTTGTGACGGACATCTCCGCCCGTGCTAAGGCGATATATGCCAGTCTCTGGCTGTACTTATCATGAAATTAAATGACTGCATCGTGTGTGTGTGTTCTCACCATTCCCGTCGTACGTGCATGACATGATGAATTTATATACGATTTTAATACATTTAATTGCACTCAGGCTGAAATTTTGCAAAACGCCGCTGTTCTGTTCAGCGAATAAGAACTAATGCAGAGAATTGTAAGTTCCGTAAGGGGAAATTGCGAAAACTTTCAGAGATTTAAGAGATCAACAGTGATGACATTTCAGATACAAAAGCGATAAAGGGGTCAAACCTTTATTTTTATTGGTGCTTCCTCACAGTTTGTAAATTACTCAGTTACTTGAACACCACAAACCTGTTATGAATAGAAGGGATCAGGCTATTCCCGGCGTTCAAAAAGACAGCAAAGGAAAAAGTGTTTTTGTTGGTTTAAAATAAACCTTCGTCTCCAGCGAATGAATTTTTCCCCGTCCATTTTGTCTGCAAACAGAATAAAGAGGGTTCGTGGTATGTTGTATAACCACTAGTAAACGCGGTTGTCGTAAGTGGCCATTTGGTACAACTTCACAAACGGGGGTTGCAGCAAAGCTATTTTTATCCTGTTGACATTCTGTAGATTGCTACCATACAAACATTTAAGCACGCAATGCTAAATTTTCAACATTTTTTAGAGCTTTGTGAGAAAAGAATTTCATGAAGAAAGAATAAAAAAATTCAACTGAATCGTAATGGCTTAGTAGCGAAAGTAACTAATTGTTTTCAGATTGAGCTAGTCTTGTGTGCACTGTGCTCCTTACCGACCGTGTGTCACAAGGCGGTCAAAGAGGAAAATTGCCATCTTTTTCTCAAGTATCGTTCTGCGTCACTAACGAAGACCATAAAAACACCCTTTTATGGCTTCAGGAAATGTTTCGAACTTGTTAGTGAAATTTACATCCGGTGGTTTGTGCCATAACTGTCGTTTTGAATATATCACCATATTTTGAAAGTTCCGTAGAGTGTATACAAACATTGTTATGTTAATTTGACCAACCCCCTAAAAGTTCGGATGAAGTATAACTGCAAGGTTCTGATGTTTTGCTGGTGTAGCAGGTCGAATTTTTAAACCGTTTAAGAACCAGTAACGTATCAAACAATAGACCGTACCATGTACCTCAGAGAGATTTATATTTAATCAAACACTGGACTGAAAGTGAAACTTAGCTTGAAATACTGTGCCAGCCGTCATTCAGATAGCTTCTACACAACATTGACGACAGGCGACCCAGAAATGTCCGTCGGTCATAAACTACCCGAACGTGTCCAACGTGCCACAAGCCTGCAACCGGCCCGGAGAGATCTTTGTCCACAAGTCCCAACCTTGTATTTGGGCCTTTGAAAACGGAAGCCAAGGAGTTTGTTTTCAAATACTTGAATAAAATCACATCAAAATTACAGACCTTCGACCGTGGTAAAAATGTTCTCTTTGCTTGAAAACGTCGCCTTTGTACACTGTAGCCTACCTCTGTACAAAGCATAGGCGCGGTGGGTCTTTGATTACCCGGTGGTCTAATCCGACTTTTATGAGGCCCTTTTCACCAGGCGCGTGGACATTTATTGTTTTCTGAATTCTCATGTAATCAGAATTTTATTTAGCGTCTGTTTAACTTTGGTTTGGGCTATTTGACACGTCTGTCTCTGAACTTGAGGGTGTACGTGTACTATCTGTGACTGTTTTGTTTACGTGGAAACACTTTTGGTCTAATTTTTGGCGGGCTGAGTTGGGCTTAACGACGCAGCTTTTAACTGATCTGTGACCGCAATGGAATTTGCGTTGTTTTTCGTCATGCATAAAACTGTTTTGAAGAATCCAACTTATCAATGAATTTTCCTTTTTTTAAATACAGGAATGGAAACGTTTTGCTTTTAAAGAATCAGATATTATGACCGCATAGTTCACTTTAGTTTACAAAAGTAACTTGAAATAAAAAAGTGCCCGCCTATGTAGGGGCGTTTTTAATATCACTTTAATAACAAATCACAAACTGTTGTTTTTGCAGACAAAATTCCCATGGAAATTAATTTATTGGAGTGCAAGCATGAAAACAATTTGGCTGACCAGATTGTTTTCTCACTTCATTTACGTGTTCTTGCCGATTTCGAGACGACATTAAAGTTCTTAACTTCACTGTATCATGTGGACATGCGCCGGGGACTTGACTGACATGGTCGCTTGTGTACATGTGTTTGGGTGTATTGGGGTGTTAGTTTAGTCACGCATCGGTTAAAAAACACATTGTGGACTGTAAACCTGAATAGGTACATGTGCATGTAATACACTCAATAGCATAACTGTGGTGAAATTTCCGAGGCACCAGGCGGCGCCAGGGGACTGCATTCATGTATATGACCTTCACTTCGGCCAAATTCATGTTTTCACAAGCGTAAACCAGAATTTTGCTACACGTTAATCACTGAAGGATATCAAATCGCACTCCTGTAACAAGTACTGTAACAGGGAACTAGCATAGACAGAGAAAGACCTCAGCACAGTTCGAGTGCTTGTTATTGACTGGATGACTATACATTGTACTGTGACTGACATAATGTACTGGATTTATGTGGGCTAAAACTTGTGGTGAACTTGATTCACAAAGTGAAAAGTATCCTCGTACTTTGTATCGACATACCAAAGGACTGAGTTTTGTTGAGCAGGTCTACCAAGCTTCATTCATTTTTACCTGTGCAGGTTATTGATTTCTGACAATTTGAATAAGGATTCGTTGTAGAGATAACTACCAGAGTTAGGATCAATTTCAAGATCAATTCCAGGCCTTGGGTCGGAGGCCATGAACAGGTCACAATAATTATGTTGGTAACTTGGGAGCACAGCCTGAGTAGCATTTACAGTGTACGTGTTCAGTGTTTCTTTGTATCTTTAAAGAGATGTGAGTGCCCGATGGTGACATTAAGCAAACAAACTAAACAGTAGGTGCGAAACTAGGCAACGAATGTCATTACTCAATTCTCGGAAGGGCAAGCAATGGAGATATTGTATCAGATTTTTCAACAGGGGTTTTCTGAACACGAACTGACACGGTGCTTCTGCCATCCCTGGAACTGTAAGGAAGTCGTCTTTCGAGGGTACTACGAAACACCTCCATTTGTTATCGTGTCTATTATTTTTGTATCAAACACTGCAATACATCTGATAAGAAAGATATTACTGTAAAAATGACAGCTCATCCACTGATCTAATGAAAAGATTTCACTTCACACGGTGCTGCTGTTTTTCCATCCATTTTTGAATGTAAAAATGCATGGTATGCGGGGCATGGACAGTCCTAGCAAGTACGACTTCAACAACAGATATTTGATGGATGAGATTGTCTTGCCAAGGGTGGAAGTTGACCTTCCTATAACTGTAAGTCTATAAATCCGATCACTGGAATAATTCCTCCAGCTTTTGTTGAGAACTTTTCCCTCCACTTATAGACCCGGGTCTGGGAAACCTGTTGAGGGCATCAGGGGGCAACCCCTATCTTCTCAGGTTTACTCTTTTTATTTCGGAGTATTCATCTTTACAAACAACAAACGAATTAAGTGGGCTTGTTGACATCCCGGGAAAGCTGCAGAAATGATGCAACATTAGCATTACGGCAGCAATAACTAAGACGTCGGGAACGTATTTGCGGATCCTGAGGGCGGGGGGTTGCCAACAGGAGCCTACTCGCCCCCCCAACAAAATTGTTTTGTTTTTAAACTAGTGAGAGAAAGGCGAGGCTCATTTCCCTTTCTTTTAAAAGTCCTGAAGTAGCCTCATGTCCTCAGAAAGGCCACATGAATAAGTTATCAAATGATGGTTCCGCAAAACAGATTTGCCCCCCCCCCTCCGAATATTTAGTTCTGGATCAGCCCTTACGACGACGTAAACGGAAAAAACGACGACGATGAAAAGAGCAGTAACAGACAAACCTCAGCTAAAAACACTCCACTTATGGTCTGGAACTAACTTTCAAGGGGGAGGACTCAATTGTTGATACAGTAACCAGACATACAAGTGGATACTCTTGATAGGGTGGAAGCATTCGATTTGTCCCACTTTCATAAGTAAAAATATATGTTGTTTTGTTTTGTTTTGTTTTCAGACTTGGCCATTTGCAATCAGCTCTCGACCAATCACAACGGACGACACTTCAGAGGAATGTGACAAGGAGGTGCGATCCGATACAACCAGTGACGTCATGTCTGAGTCACCATGAGTCTAGTTAAACCTCAAAGCCAATGCATTTGCACATGTCAGTGAGAAAAGCCTTCTACGAAGGCTGATGGCAACATTGATGGTCAGTTTTGATGTGCCACATCGAGTTTTGGAAAAATCTTTTGGAGATTTTTATTATTCTCTCTGAGTGCGACAAATGATACAGGACTCCTTCTTTTGGAATGTCTGCAGTCAACTTGAAGAAATGCAATGGGATCAGAAGGGTAATTTCGAATGGATGAAAACAGTATTTAGAACGCTGAGCTTACGAGAAAGTGACGAGTTTGCTCTTACAATCAAAACGGTTGATCAGTGTGCGAATGCGTGGTTACAATGTCAAAACATCTCGGAAAAACAGAACGTAACTTGGCATCTTGTCTTTTCTACTGCTGAGGCGCGAGAGCCGTTTGGTTAGCTCTCCTGACATTAGAAAGCAGTGGTGGTAAACTCGTGTACTCTGCCTAGTTCGATCATTGTTTGTAAAAACTGCAGTCTCAGTCAGAACACTCCATGCGAACAGCATGATAAACGATGTATGCATGTAACCTTGTACAAATAAGTAGTCTTGTCAGTTGCAAACCGAACTCAAGTAAAATCACAAGATCACAAAAAATTAAGAGTAATAGCAAATATAAGTATCCTTCGTTATTGCTCTCTGAATAACTTGGGACATGAACAGATGGCTAACTTTTGATGAAGTGAACTCAAGTCAGCTTAGCAAGAGTTACTTTAATGTTACACCTGGAACGTTTTAAAACGAAAAGGTAAAAATACACGGACTCATAAAACGTTGACATAAAACGTACGATGGGTTCCTTCTTCAAAACCTGTTGCATGTAAATGATTAAACTCTGAAGATAATGTGAGGTTAATTAAAACGCTGCTTAATTGCTGAGGGTGAAGGTCAGGAAATTAGCCAAATTTCCTGCGCGTACGAAATCACGATTTGCATGCTTTCCAATTCTCTTCTATTCAGTGGCGTAAACCTGTGCCGGAAATTTGGGGGGGAGGTGAAAATTTGAAAAGCTTGGGAGGGGGAACACTATTTGACTCTATGTAGAGGTCATGATGTTGATGTACATCTGTAATGTATTCAGGGTGTCATATTTATGGCTTTTTGAAAAATTGTTTTGCCTTTTTTGAGTGATACTGAATGCATTTTAGTCGTTGGAAATCTGAAAAATTCTTCAAAATCCACTTTTTTGTACTCCCGACAAAAAAGTGTGTGTGTGTGGGTCACTCAATAGCCCCCTTCCCACCTCAAAAGTGTGGGGGGATATATACCCCCATCCCCCCGGATTTACGCCCATGCTTCTATTAGAGCATTTTGTGGCGCGTTGACCAGATAGTTTGTAAAAAAAAGAAAAGAAAGAAACTACTAACGGGGCCCTCCTAATTGTTGTAATTGTTCTATTCTGCAATGCCATGTACATGTACTCTCAATGTGCAAAATGGCGATGGGCTTCACGACGGTTTTCCTGCGCGATCAGATCTGGACAGGAATATTTCAAAAGTCATCGAATGAGCCACTAAAAAAATGAAAAGGACATTAAAAGTGAGGTACATAATAACCTGTCCCGTGCGGGGGTATATATCACCACCACCACCCCCACC